GCATGGACAATGATCTCTGTCCATCTCTGTCCATCTCTGTCCCTGTGATCTCTGTCCCGTCTTCCAGGAAGGTAAGCCCTGTGGGTCTGGTCAGTATTGGGGTAACTTCTAGAAAGAAGTTACATGAAAACATATAAGCAAGAACCAGAGCTTGCTCCTCAGGGAGACCATGGCTTACTTCCTCCTAGATCTCCTCTTTGTCCCAAGACATGCAGAATATTAGTGCATTCCAACCACTTGTAACACCTATACTTGAGATCTGACCCCTGAAGGAAAAAACAGGTTCTCAGTGGATTCTGAGCAAAAGCAATTCACAATCAGAATTTGATAACAGAGCTGTATTAGTCTGTTTGCATGCTGCTATAATGAACTGCCCGAGACTAGATAATTTATAAAGGAAAGAGGTTTAATTGACTCACACAGTTCCACATGGCTAAGGAGGCTTCAGGACACTTACAATCATGGCAGAAGAGGAAGCAAACACATCCTTCTTCACTTAGTGGCAGAAGAAAAAGTGCAGAGCAAAGAAGGGGGAGAAAACACCTATAAAACCAACAGATCTCATGAGAACTCACTATCACAAGATCAGCATAGAGGTAACCACCCCCATAATTCAGATTCCTCCCACCAGGTCACTTCCACACACATGGGGATTATGGGAACTATAATTCAGGATGAGATTCGAGTAGAGACACAGCCTAACGATATCAAGGCCTAAAATGCAAAGCTGCCTATATCCCATTCAATAAGGACAAAAGAGTGATCGTGTATTCGGAAACTTCCACCTTGAGCTACAGTCTCTTGAATGTCATCAGGAGGATAACGGGTGGAGGAAGGCAAGGAAAGAATCCCTGTAAAGAACCTGCAGCTGTCTCCTCTTTTTCAAGTACAAAGTGTGATCAGTTCTGTTCTTGAACCAGGAAGCAAATGAGAGGAGTCAGGTAAGATTCAACCAGTTGGGAATGCTTTCCTGTGTTTTCATCCGTAATCATCCTTGTGTTATTTGGATTTCAGACACCTCTGGTTTCCTAGTACAGGGATCCTGAGGGACATGCCAAAGTCTCAGATGCATAGGGACCAGAAGACTGAGACACCATGGGTATGGCCAAGAGACCATGACTCCTGGGATTGTGGAAATGCCTAAAGAGCCACCATGTCGAAGGACCATAGGGAACAATGGAAAGAAGACACCCGCCCAGCACAAGGGGCTTGAGACCTTGGCCTGTCTCCCTGACAGCCTCACTGTGTCTCAGTGACTTCCCTTCCTTCTCTCCTCCACGCTTTTGGTGTAACCAGGAAGATGCCAGAAGAATCCAAAACACATTCCTTTTTTGGCAGTTTACTATAATTTATTAACTTACCAGGCCATTCCATCCCAAAATAAAATTTGACCAGCTCTAAGAGATGTACATAATAGCACAAGAAAAAGAAAATAATAGAAAATGGGGACGCAAAAGCAAAGCCAAATGAAATGAAGCCAGGGATTGGTCCACAAACTGCAAAACAAAAGGGCCTATTCAGGTTTCAGAATTGGACATTAAATCCCTGAGGCTCCTGGTGGAGAAAATTTAATCCATTTAATTTCACAGTCCCCAGGAGGGAATTAAAATCAATCACAAATGTCCCATTTCCATAAGAAATTAGTTGGTCGAGAAAGGTCCCTGGAGACCTTTCTCCATGACACTCCAGCCAGGTTTAGGGCGCGCTCCTGCCCCTACTACTGAGGCTGGTGCCTCAGCCCAGCTGGCCTTACCTCTCCATTGATTTCTGGGAAACTTCAGGAACATGGTTGGGTTAGGGACATCATATGTGGTCATGAACAAGCCCTTTCCTCTCAAGTGCTGTCCATAGAGGGATGCTCTCCTGCCCTGGCCCCCTGGGTGAATTCTACTGTAGGGTTTCAAAGTGCCTTACCACCACCTCCTGGTGGTCCCTGGTGCCATAAATATGCAGAAGCTTCTCTGTGGTCCATGAATCCCCTGAAGCCAAGTGTGTTCTATGTGGAAAGAGAAGACTCTTTTTGCCTCTGTGCCACATTTGTCACCCACCACCAAGCCCCAGTGACTCGAGATTCTAGTGATGACAGCTCTGCCAGCCCTGGCCTGTGGCTCCTCTCTCGCTTGGGTTCAGACACATCCATAATGCTGCTCCAGGACCAGCTTAGAGAGTGACTCCTGTTTTCCTAATTCCCCTTCCCATGGCCCTCATGCTCTAGGTGGCAGAATTATGGGATATTTTTCTACAATGCAAATGTAAAAAAAAAAATGTGACTTTAGAAGTAAGTATCATGTAATGGCAGGCATGATAAGAAGGATCTTTACACACAGAATCACCAACAGCACTCTGATTAGAAATCAATGTCATTGTGAATCCCTAGTCGACTACAGTGTGTTTAGAATCCTAATTGGATTCTGCTTTTTACTCTTTTAATGCTCTTGACTTAACCAAGTGGCTCTTAAAACAAAGAAGCTCTCAGCTTTGACAAGTGGGGGAACAGAACTTGGGTTCGGTTGGAGAACTGGGACCTCTCAAACTCTGTCTCCTCCAAGCAGCATAAAATGGGGTTACTGGGGTGCAGACTCCCATAGAGACCAGGTGAGAGATGCAGCACACAGAGGTAAGCACCCACTCAGCTGCAGCATGGGGTGGGGGAAGCAACAATAAAGGAAGGAAGGAACGTGCCTTTGCCCCCACCAAAAACATGCATTTATTTGGAGGTAAGGTCAGGTTTGCCAAAAATCAGAGTGAGGGCAAAAATGATGCTCAAGACATGCTAGCAGTAACACTGATGCCGGGAGTCTGAAGAAATAGCCAAGGGCTGTGGGGGAAAGGTTCTGGTGTCTACCATCCCAGGCCTCCAGGACCATTTCAAATCCCTCCTCTCCTGCATAGCCTTCCCTGAGCTCCCACCACATGGAGCACTAACCCCTTGTAGCAGATTGGGGCAGGGGCTTGATACTGGTGTTTGCTATCAACAGGTGGGAGAGCTGAGGGACGCCCAAAGGGATGATGGGATCAAAATGGGTAAGGGGAGCTTTGGGCAGCTGAGGTGGGAGGATTGCTTGAGGCCAGGAGTTCAAGATCAGCCTGGGCAACACAGCAAGACTTCCGTCTCTCCAAAAAAAAAAAAAAAATGAGGTAAGGGATTATTTTGAATGATTTAGACTTTAGCTATTGACTCCATTCAGAAAGAGACCTCTCAGGCAGCTGGGTAATCTCAGCCCAACTGGAAATGCTCTTAGAGGGGAGAAAGTGTTGGCAGAACTGAGTCTAGGATGCATCTGAATGGGTAGGTCTCCCCAGGCATGTGCAGGGGAAGCCTGGGTGGGAACCACTGAGTGTACATCAATGCATGTGCTGAATGGGCAGGCCAAAAGGCCCAAGATGGCTGATGTTAGACACAGGGGCTTTGAGAGGCCCAGGAGTCACCAAAGCACAGCTGGTTGGCAGGCAGCTGGGCTCCCAAGAGGAGAGGCAAGAGCAGGAGACAGATCTGGAAGCCATTAGCATCTACATGGAAGACAGAGAGAGAGAGAGAGAGAGAGAGAGAGAGAGAGAGAGAGAGAGAGAGAGAGAGAGAGGAAGGAAGGAAGGAAGGAAGGAAGGAAGGAAGGAAGGGAGGGAGGGAGGGAGAGAGGGAGGGAGGGAGGGAGGAAGGCAAAAGAAAAGAAAGAGAGAAAGGGCAGGGCAGGACAAGAATGGAAAGGAAAGGGAAGAGGAAAGGCAAGGAAAGGCAGAAAGAAAAACAGTGAATGAAGAAGCAAGCCTAGGACAGAACTCTGGAGTACAAAGACCCTGGACAGCCTGAGTGAGGCAAGTTCACCTGCAACACCCACACCCACTCCAGACATCACTGCCTTCATTACTTCAAAACTGCACCCCTGTCCCCATAGGGTGTTAGTCTCCTTCAGAAAGTGACTCAATGCTTTTCTGCAGCCCAAAAACAGAGAGCTGCCCCACTGGGGGCCCCAGAACAATATGACCCAGAGTTCCTGACTACACTATTGGGGTGGAGGGTGATGACATCAAGGAAGGCGCCATCTGCAGAGACGATCCTGCCTTTAGCAGCTCACACGATGTAACGCCCTCCCAGGGCAGCATTTGCTAGTTTGGTTTTCCATAACCAGGGTCTGACCTGTGGCCAGGCAGGCCAAGAAACTGTCCACCCATTCTGCAGTGACTCTACTTCCCAAGAGCAGACTCGTGCTAGCAAAGCTCACGGTGTACAAAACCAGGTATCTGAGCAACACAGATCTACTGGAGGGTGCCTGGATGCCTGGCAAGCTCACGAGCTCACGGGTCAGGCCTGGAACACTGAAGCCCCCTGAAAGAGTACTTCCTCCAAAGGAAGTCAAGTAGACAGGGAGGGAGGGATAACCTGGGCCATTTTCTCTCCTGGCCCACATTGGCCTTGCTTTCATGATTGAATCTATATTAAGATTCGTGAGACAAGAATGGCAGAGAATAAACATCTAAACTGTTCACTAAAGACATGAGACACTAATGTACTACCAAGCCCAGGGGAAAGGGTGACACCCAAATGGAGATAGGACCACCACCTCACTTCCACCCAGAGCTCAGCTTGGCTTCCACAGTGAGGGCTCCAGAACACTCAGGAGCCTGTCTATGTGGGAGGTGAGTCTTAAGGGCCAACATGCAGAAAGCCCTGGGCAGGCCGGGGACAGGATGACTCAGGATAAAATTGTGCCAAGAACCTGGAACATACAACAGTGGTCAAGACCCTCTCACTGGAGGACCATACACACCAGCTCCTCCTGCCTCAGTCTTGGCATGGGGACGAAGAACAAAGCTTCCGCTTGCCAAAAGGAAAGGCCAGACAGGCAAAAATGTAGGGACCCCAGGCTTCTGTTAGGATTAACCCATGATCAGCCAAGTGTAGCAAGAAGCAGGACTGACCCTTGGAAAAAGAGAACTCTTAGAATCCATTTCCTCAGCCAAAGCAGTTTCTTACTGGAAGAAAAGTTACTTAGGCCACATTATTTTTCCCAATCTCAACTCACCTGCATCTCTCATCTATATTATTGAGAAGGTGGAAACTCACATCAAGTATTTTGATAATAGCTCACATCCTTGCTCAAAGCACTTCACCAATTCTGAATATCCCAAATCCTTTAATCTTTAGGAATTCTCAGTTTCTGTATTTGTTTAAATTCAAAATGTGGAAATTTCATAATGGGAAATGTGGTCTACAAAGTGCACTGAGATTCTGGCCCCTAAGTTACCTAACATGAATGGGAATTCAGTATAGTAAGAAGAGCACAACAGACTCAAGACATATCTGTTGAATCCTGCCTCTCCCACTTACAGATGTGTGACCAGTGCGAGTTACTTAATCTCCCAAGACTCTAGGACATGGAGAGAAAGTTAGTACTTATCTCCTGGGACTGTTGCGAGTATTAAATGAGATGATGTATACAAAGTTCTTAGCACAGAACTTGCACAAGAGCAACCGCTCAATAAACACCAGCTATTGCTGCTATTGACTTTCTAATGTCACTGTTCTTCCTACTCTGTGCTGAACTCACAGTGGCCTGCTGTAGGCCAACTCCTCTCTCACCAGAGTCTCAACATTCTCCCCTGAGGATATGCCCCAACTGAGAACGTATGAGGACCACTGCTGATGGGGTGGATTACACATGGGTGGTGTGAAGGCACAGTGAGAGTTTGGAATCACTGCTCAGGGCCACTGATTTAACTCTAATCTCCTAAGCTGCCAGTTTGGCTCAAATACTGACATAGCTCTTACACAACAGCAAATACAAGGACAGTCTGAGGATACTGTGTGGGTCTTTACAGAAGAAAAACAAATTACACTTAAGAAAAGTGCCTTAAAATCGGGATCCTTAGTATTTGTAATTCACTTCCAAATTACCTGGTTTATACCAAGATAACTTCCCTGGGTACACACCAAGCTTAAAAATTGGAAAATTTCTCTCTAGCATACATCATGTGATATAAGATATACACATCAAGTCCCCTTTTGTTGTTGGGGAGAGTGTCCCCTACGATGCCTTCCCTCCTGCATGGGTTCTCCGGTGAGCACTAAAGTGGGAACTGTTGTTGAAGTCTTTGCCACACACTGTGCACTTGTAGGGTTTCTCCCCTGTGTGGATTCTCTGGTGAATAATAAGACTGGAGCTCTGGTTAAAGCATTTCCCACACTCTCTGCACTTATACGGCTTCTCTCCTGTATGAATCCTCTGGTGAGTAATGAGGTTAGAACGGTCACGGAAGAATTTTCCACACTCGGTGCATTTGTAGGGCTTCTCTCCCGTGTGCACTCTCTGGTGTGTGATGAGCTTAGAGCGCTCACTGAAGCACTTCCCACAGTCCACACATTTATATGGTTTCTCCCCAGTGTGGGTGCGCTGGTGGTTGGCCAGGGTGGAGCTCTTACTGAAGCTTTTCCCACATTCAGCACATTCATATGGTTTCTCTCCCGTATGGATTCTTTGGTGGCTAATGAGGGCAGAGCTCTTAGAGAAGCTTCTTCCACATTCAGAACACTGATAAAGTTTCTCCCCTGAGTTTATGCTGTGTGGTCCAGGAGAATTCAATTCCTTACTGACAGTTTGAGGTTGTTCAGGAGCTGTCTCCTCTCTAGAATTCCTCCAGTGAGCACTAAAAGATGGACTTTGGGCAAAGTTTCCCCCGGGCTCACTACATTGGTCAGGATTTCCTCCCAAGTGGATTCTCTGATGTTTCAGAAGGTTTGAGCTCTGGTTGAAGCTTTTCCAACATTCTCCACATTTATAGGGCTTTTCTCCTGTGTGGATTCTCTGATGAGTGATGAGATTGGAATGGTCACTAAAGCTTTTCCCACATTCAAGGCATTTGTAGGGCTTCTCTCCAGTGTGGATTCTCTGATGGGTATTGAGGTTAGAGCGGTCACTAAAGTTTTTTCCACATTCAAGGCATTTGTAGGGCTTCTCACCTGTGTGGATTCGCTGGTGGGCTATGAAGTGGGAGCTCCGACTGAAGCTCTTCATGCATGTGTCACACTTGTAGGATTTCTCTGCAAGATACAGGCCTTGATGGTCAATAAGTTTTTCTAAGTCCTCTTCAGAAGAACTTTCTTGCCACTGTTCCTGTGAGGGATTTCCCCACTGCCCTTCATCTTCATTTTCATTTTCACTGTCTTCTCCCCAATCAAGAGGTTGGCAAACAGCTTCTGTAGGACATTTTGATAAGGCTCCAGGCAAATTCTCAAAGATGTCCTGCTCAGAAATTGGGTCTTCATGCCTCATTTCAAAACCTGAAAGAATGGACAGAAATGCAGTTTTTCTCCACTCATTAGTTAGTGTGTGTGTGTGTATTTGTATCATACATCTGTGAAGTTGGCTAATATGAATTTGATTCTTGTGGGTTCTCCAGTGAGCACTGAAGTGGGAACTGTTGTTGAAGTCTTTGCCACACTCTGTGCAAAAGACTTATATCTCACATCTCATAAATGTGACTAACATGAAATTGATCCAGTTTTGGCATATATAAGTGTTTCTGACCTGCAAAACTGAGTAATAAGACTCTGGGTTATGGTGACCCACCAAGTGAGCCATGGGGCTCACCCCAGCAGCCACAGCAAAACTGTTTCCCCAGCAAACTCCTCTATCTTACTATTCAATCATGAATACCTCCTTCTTCTAGCACATTCCATATATCCTGTTTTGAATCCTAGATTGAAAAAAGTCTCTAGCTGCCCAGATATATACTAGTAAAAGATAGAATGACTGACTGACTGACTGATTCAGAGGACCACATAAAGCTACAGACTAAATAATCTGAGAAGAGCAGAAATACTTTTTCCTATTCAATCCCATTCTCCCTTTTAATTAAGAGACAAAAGATAATGAGCCTGGCTTCCTCACCCTCTCCACATGCCCATGGATTCTGTGAACATCCAGTTACTCCAGGCTTACCCATGTCTGTGGCTACAGGACACAAGGTTGGAGGTTTGACAGCATCTTCACAGGCCACCTCACCCCAGGCCTCCTGGGCATCAGTCTCAGTACTGCTCTGCCCACACCTAGGGAGACCTGCAGCTTCCTGAACAGTCCCCATGGCCCTGACTGCAGTCCGAGCCCTCATCAGTGAGTCCAGTTCCTCATAGAAAGGGCATGTCCCTGGTGGGTGGCTGCTCTTGGCTTTCCGGTAGCTTCGAAGGAGGTTTTTGAATCTGTAGCGACACTGCTCCAGAGTCCGCAGGAAGCCCAGAGCACACAGCCGCTCTGCGATGGCCCGGTACACCTGGCTGTTCTGGTGACAGGTGCGAAGTTTTTCTGAGAATGGGGACTCACTAAGAATTGCCAGGAAGGCCTTGGTTTCCTCGTAGCCCCAGTGCACACCTGCTGTCAGGAGTGAAAAGTTCAGAACTGTGAGACTTCATAATGAGATGTGCCTAGGTCATCAGAGACTAGAGTCACCTGCCCTTCAAACTACCTAAAACACAGGCATGTCAGAAACTAACCAGGTACCTGGGTAATATCCCTTTGCTTCTCAGGGGCATGCTAGGACAGTCAGCCAGAGCTTCCTACCCTCACCCTCTTCTAAGAGGCTTTAGTTGATTAGTTCAGGTAAAGACCTGTAATTGGGATGCCTGTGATTTTTCCCCATATTCATTCAATACCTGTCCTCTATTTATTTTATAAATTCTCCTTTTAACAAAACATGAAAGCTGAGAACCCCTAAAGATTGGAGACATACATGAATTTCAAATAGTCCTGCAAAAGAGGCCAACTGAGGATACACTTTCCCCCTTTGCAGAGGAATTAAAAGGAGGTGGTCTAGTCTCAGCTCCTCTGCAGGAAAACGATATAGCACAGAAAGGCAACACAGTGGAGGGAAAACCATGTAAAATCAGCAAGCAGGAGCCATAGGCTCTGATCTGGGCTCTGCTCCTACCTGTGTGTCTATAACATGCCTCATCTCTTGGACTTCCATGTTTGCACCTTTACAGTAACTGGGTGTTTCCTAGACATTGATTATTCAAGTCTACACTGTCGTGATTTCTGCCATTATCTGTTCAATATTTCACTCGCCATCACTCTTTACCTAAATTTGCTATCTGTGAAATCACAGGCTGATGCACTCATACAAATTAAGAGAAATACATAAATACCAGAATTTAAAGTTCATTCACGTAACGTCAATGATCATCCCACACTATCAGTGACACACTTTTGGAAATACTGGACTCCCTCTTTGAGGCCCCTTAAGGCTTTAAAAATGTTTGCTTCTATAACTAAGAAGACTTTTGCAAAGAGACTTGGTCATGGGAAAAGAGAGTTGAAGTTTGAGAATGACCTAAGGAACACAGCTCTTTACTCTAGTGACATTGATCCAGACTTGCACCCTGCACCCTGACCTCAGGGAATAGCAGTCTAGCTGGTCAGAGGGTTGGAATCTGAATCCGATTAAACCCCCATATTCTTACCAATACGACTCTGGAACAGAGCTGGGACCCCTGTAATCCTGGGCCCCTGGGTAGACTCATCAGTGACCAGGCCAGCACCGTTATAATCTTCTGCCATTTCTTCAGGCTCCCAGCCCCCTTCCTCCTGCTCATCCATCTCTGCGTCACTATCCCCAAGCCTGGGGAGTGCTATGGCCTCTCCTGGGCCATCAGTGGCTCTGATGGCTGTCCGAGCCCTGACCAGGGCCTCCAGCTCCTCATAGAAGGGGCAGGTACCTGGTGGGTGGCTGCTCTTGGCTTTCCGGTAATTCCGCAGGAGGTTTTTGACCCTATAGCGACACTGCTCCAGTGTCCGCAGGAAGCCCCTTGCCCTTAGCCGCTCTGCAATGGCCCGATATACTTGGCGGTTCTGGTGACAAGTCCGGAGCTTTTCAGAGAAAGGAGACTCACTCAAAATTGCCAGGAAAGTCTTAGTCTCCTCATAGCCCCAGTGAACACCTGACACCTTCATGTCCTCCATATCCCACTGGTATTGTTCCTCCCATGCTCTTGACTCCTTCCAGGTCAATGCCTGAGCTGGCTCATTATCCAATCTATAATCTGCAGTGCTCCTTTTCCCAGAATTTATAAGACTTAGACCACAAAACTCTGGTTCTTGCTCTTTCTGAGAGGTGATACTTGGTTTTGAAACTGGAACTCCTACACAAGGAAGAAGAGAAATGACAGTAGAAATGGTCTGTTGAGCAACATGTTTGTCCAAAATCTCCCTGAAACTTATATCTTTTCCTTGCAAGAGGCTGATGAGAAATTCCCATGCTGATCCCATAAAATGTCTGCAGGAATGAGAAGGAAGACGTAACAGAACCATATACAAGAATGTTATGAGACCTGTTTGCTTTGTTCGTTTGTTTTTTGTTGTTGTTACAAAACATGAAACATCATATAAGAGTGACTCATTGGTCCACAGATGGGCACATGACCTAAATTGACCCAATTAACTGAACTCCATGGCTGGAAGGAAGGGGGGTGTGTGCGTGTGTGTGTAGTGAGTCTCTGTCCTGCTAGGCATCCATTGCCACCAATGCAATCTATCTTTTGACCATGAAACAAAACAGCTTTAAAATGAAGCTAACACTGAGGATGGCAGACAGAAAGAAAGAACACAGACCCATTAGGACATTGCTCAGCTAATCTGTACTGTGGTAAAAGCATGTCCTCCTCTGGACTTCTAATAATGTAAGAAAATTCATTTCCTTATTTTTAAAACAGCTGCATTTAAAGGACTGCTATCCTAATAGCTCCCAGCTCTAACAAAATAGGAAGCCTATAATTAAAATAAATATTTGAAGAAAACTAGATGAAAAGAGTTTAGAGAGGCCTAAGGATAGTCTAATTCAGTACTTCCCAAAGTCTGTTCCTTTGAACACTATTTCCCCCAGATTTCATGTGTAAAAAAGGGTTCCAATGTCAAGCCAGTAGCCAGCGAGCTTCTGGTATCTAAACTTACCATAAGTCAGGCCTATCAGAGCCTCTTCTATTTCAGCTATTCACATGTCTAACTCCCCACACGGTTTCCCAGGCTCCACAGGGAAACGTTCCCTATTATTTAGCTTCCCACATAGGACTGCTCATGGAGAAAGGAGTCTGTGCTGGTCATATGGGCTTCAGGTATTTGGGGCTCTGTGATATTTATTCCTACTGGGTTTAATTCACTGGTCTCATGGGCTTAGTTCACTTAAGTCTGCCTGAGAGAGAGATCTTGTTTACAGTGCTGAAAAAAATCAGATTTCTAAGATGGCAGGCCTGGCCTGGCCTCTGGACAGTGGTGAATAGACTGAGGTAAGGAAGTTAATGTGCCCAGAAAGTGCAGGCTCTTGTAAGTCATCCTGCCACTCCATCTCCCAGGCAGACTCCGTTCCTGCCATGGCAGTGCTGGCTACAAAGGGCAAGTCTTCTTCCCATGTCTGAAATTCCAGAGACTGCAGAGCCATGATTCTTAAAGGAGCAGCAAAACCCTCTTTGGGAACTGAGCATATCAGAAACATGACAAAATCACCTTCAGAGGGCACGTCTCCTTACCCAGGCACACGCTGTTCCCACAGTCATCTCCTGGGGGGTCTTTACAGAGCTCCTTCTCAGCATGTTTGCCAGGGCCCAGGGCTTCCTGTGAGATGCACAAGACAAGGACCCAAACGTCACTGACTTTGGACAACAGCCTAGGAACCCTAGCAGGCCCCAGGAAAGATGATGGGAACAGACGGATACCATGTGTGAAGCTAGCATCATAAGGAGCAGGATGGCCATTTGGTACATACATGTCTTTGAGGATGTTTGGGGCCCAGGAGACTGGGAGTGAGGGCCAAAGGCTAACACCCTGGACCTCATGCCCTTTTGCTGAGGGGAGGTCATGGAGAGAGAGGAGGAATACTGCAGGGGCAAGAGCACAGGAGCAGTAATGACAGGAAAGGAAGAACGAGTAGCAGCTTACCTGGGACTCAGCTGTCACCTCCCAATCTCCAACGCTCCCCATCTTTGGGAGAGTAGGGACTCGGGGAGTGAGGACAGCTGAGGAAAAGAAAATGTCTCTGAAACCCAAGCTCTGGTTCCCAAAAAATCACCTCCCTCTAAGATCGGCTTTCCAAAGGTCACACTTAGATCAAGCTGGGGATAACCCTGTGGCCAGTGCAGACTTCCCCTTTACTTCCCTACTAGAATGTGTAGCTCCTAAGCTGCTATGAGTAGTGGGCCATGTGGGAGATGCCAGCCCTGACCTCCTGTGATCACCACCCACCCCTGTCCCAGCCTGCACCTGCTGCAGTGCTCTAACTATAGCAAAGCATGCTGGCACCACCAACAGCTGCAGCCTCTTTATGATGCTTGCTTACTTCTCAGTAAGTGTGCCCACCACACTGCAGCCTATCCCTTGCCTTGAATTCTGCACACCCTTCCTCCCCATCCATCCAACCTTACCTCCCCCATCCCTCTCCTCTGCAGAAGGCCTCATTCCCTAATCTTCTCAGATTCTCTTACTCACCACTCTCTTTCAAAGGCTGTGGTGCCATCTTGGCATTTAGATGATTGGGAAAGTCAGGGCATGTATTTGCCACCCACTTCTTCTGGGACTGTCCCTCAGGCCAAGGATCCACTGGCTCCAGCTGGAAGCTCTGAGATTCTTCTCCGGTCTTTAAGGGCCCGGTCTCTTCTGTATACAATTCCAGTTCCTACACACAAACAGCCCAAATTCCCAATCATCAGTTCAATAAGACCCACTTTGGTATTTTGAGTACAACTGTGGTCCAGAGGCTAACAGGCTCTTTCAAGATCCAAAATGGTTTGAAGTAGGATGGGAAAGCCATCAGAGTGAGTTTGGTAGGCAGACCAGCATTCATACCACCAAATGAGTACTATCTGTTGAACACAGGTAGCTATCCAAGTGTTTCAATGAGAGTGCCACTGTTCAAAACATTTTTGATTCTTAAAGAGAGAAATTATGTAAAATTTGGGTAACATTAAAAATAATCCATAAGCATCAAAAATAGTTTGCTTACTTTTTGTTATCAAAACAAAAAATAAAAGTTACCAAGTTGTATATTCAAAGGCAACGGGAGGAAAAAAGGATACAATTATGAAACCAAATACACGGGATACACAGGAAAAAAGGATACAATTATAACACCAAATGTGGTTGCCCTGAATATCTCTGCTGAAAGACAAAGATATTTTTAAAATAAAAAATTTTTTAAAAGGGCAAAGAATTACAGAGGGAGGCTGGGTGCAGTGGCTCATGCCTGTAATTCTAACATTTTGGGAGGCTGAGGCAGGGGAATCACTTGATGCCAAGTGTTCAAGACCAGCCTGGGCAACATAGCAAGGCCCTCATCTCTATAATAAATAAATAAATAAAATTAGCCAGGTGTGGTGGTGCATGCCTATACTCCCAATTACTCTAGAAGCTGAGGCAGGAGGATCACTTGAGCCCAGGATTTCGAAGTAACAGTGAGCTATAATTATGCCACTGCACTCCAGCCTAGACAACAAAGTGAGACCCTGTCTCAAAAACAGAAATCAGATGGAATTTTTAAATGATGTAAAAGTATGTGTTGTTAATTTTAAAACAGAAGGACACGTGAAAGACAAGGCACTCTAACTCAAAAGGAAAAAGGAAGTGGCAATTTTCATTTCAATGGTGAATTTCAGGCAAAAAAAAAAAAAGGTACTCAGAGATGCAGAGAATATATTTAAAATAAAAGGGAATAATCAACTAAAATAACATTACCCAATGAACTTTATCAATTGTACAGCTAATTTCTTATCTCTACTTCTCATCTGGTTCCAAGTTCAGTGGTAGTGCAGTCAAGGTGTTAGTTATTTCCTGGCTGTAAAACTTCGACAATATAACAATCTCAATACTTTAGAGAAACATCTAACTTTTTAAAATGTATTTCAATGTTTTTCAATAGATAATAGACTCACATGGTTTAAAAACAGAAAATACATATAGTGGTATATTCAGTGAAAATGCCCCACCCTCATCCATCTCTATCCCATCAACCCATTTCTTTCCCACTCTCCTCATCACAGGTAACCATATTCTTCTGCATTCTTTTAGAGTTTCCTTCTACATACAAACAAATGTAAATGTAAATTCTTAGTTTCCCTCTTTTTCATACAAAAAACACTGCTCTGAGGCTTATTGTTTTGAACCAAAATAATAACAATTATCTTCATCAACTCACTGAGTTTGCCAAACTTAGCTCCTTTTTTGGCTGGCCTGAAAACTCAAATTCACTCACAGTGAAGGATTTTTACCATTGAGAAGATATATAGGAATGGGCCATGAGCATCAACAGCCATTCCAAATAAGGAGATTCACCAGTGTTCTGTATGATTTCACACAGAAAACATCTGCTTATCAATCTCCTTATGTGTTCATGTAAAAAAAAAATTCACTTTGTTATCATTATAATCTATAGAGGAACTGTGTGACTAAATTCAACAACAATCTTTACTCTCAACCTGTTTCTCCAACTATTTACCATCCTTAAGCAAAGATTCTGATTCCATGGATTATAATTTTGGACACAGAAAGAAGTAGATTCAAGTGACAACCGGGGGCAAAAACATCAGTAGGTCAGACTTCTGGTTTCCAAGAAGTCTGTAGAGTCTAGAAGTTTCCACTCTAGACTCTACAGTAACAAGTAAAAAGCTGAACAAACTGAAAAATCAACAACTCTTCTTAGATCTGTCAGAGAATTCAGGTCACAGGGCAAACCACTGCCCCCAAAATTGGAGAGGCAAACAGGTAGAATCAGAGAACCACAACTTAGTGGAGCAAAAGCCTCTGTGGGAACCAGTGCCAGGGAAGAAAAACCTAAACTATAATAGATGAATTGCTGGCAGGTCACTGTGGACAACTCTGAAAGCTAAAAACTCCAAGGCACTCAATCATTGAGTGGGGGCACATTTTTGTAAGTTTTACCTTCAAGAGCTCAACCAGATCCTTACAATAAATATGAGAGAAAAATCTTACCATGCTTATGGCTGACAGCAGAAAAAAGGAACCATTTTGAAATACACCATGGCTCTCTGCTCTTCTTAATAAGGCCCGTCCTCAGCAGAAACTATTTTACCAAAGCCTAACCTAGCTGTCAGAAAAGAAATATGTAATTCCAGCTCCCTCTACTCTTTCATATGGAAGATGAGAAATACCCAATGCAGCCCCCTCTAGGCATCCTGTCCCACCTAAGATGGGAAAAAATTGAGAAGCACTGGCAAAGGTCAGAGTCCAGGGACACAGGTATACAAGTGAAAGACCTAGAAAAAAGAAGAGCAAATTAAATCCAAAGTAGCAGAAGTAAGAAATATAAATTAGAGCAGAAATAAATAAAATTTAAAATGGGAAATCAATAGAGACAACAAAACCAAAAGATAGTTCTTTGAAAAAAATAATAACATCAATAAACCTCTACTCTCAGGCTGGGCGTGGTGGCTCACACCTGTAATCCCAGCACTTTGGGAGGCCGAGGAGGGCAGATCACAAGGTCAGGAGATTGAGACCATCCTGGCTAACACGGTGAAACCCCATCTCAAAAATAATATGATAATAAGCCTCTAGTCAGGCTAAGAAAGACAGACAGTCCAGGTACGGTGTGTCATGCTTATAATCCCAGCACTCTGGGATTACACTTCCCAGAGTGCTGGGAAGCCAAGGCAGTGGATCACTTGAACCCAGGACTAGCTTGGGCAACATGGCAAAATCCCATCTTTACAAAAAAAATTCAAAACTTAGCCAGGCATGTTGGTGTGGGCCTGTAGTCCCAACTACTTGGGAGGCTGAGGCAGGAGGATTGCTTAAACTCAGGAGGCAGAGGCTGCAGTGAGCCAAGGTCCCACCATTGCACTCCAACCTGAGCAACAGAGGAAGAACCTGTCTCAAAAATAAAAGAGAAAAGAAGACAGAAAACAAATTATTAATATCAGAAGTGAAAACAGAGACATCACTACAGATCTCATGGACACTGAAAGTATAATAAAGGTATATTATGAACTACATAAAGGTTAATAAAGGAATATTTATGGCCACACACTTGATAACCTGGATGAAAAAGACCAGTTCCTTTACCCACCCCATCTGCCAAAACTCATACAAAAATAAACAATCTGAATAGGCTTATATCTATTAAGGAAATTGACTGAAGAATCAATAATCTTCAAAACTGAAAGCACCAAGCTCAGATGGGTCCACTGGTGAATTTTATGAAACATTCAAGGAGGAAATTATACCAAGTCTCTACTGTCTCTTCCAGAAGTTAAGAACAGAGGGAATATGTCCTTATTCATTCTATAAAGCCAGCATTTACCCTAATACCAAAACCAAAGAAATTACAAGACAAGAAAGCTACAAACTAATATTCCACATGAACAAAGATGCAAAAATCAGCTAGGTGGAGTGGCTCACGCCTGTAATCCCAGCACTTTGGGAGGCTGAGGCGGGAAGATCACAAGGTCGGGAATTCGAGACCAGCCTGGCCAAGATGACGAAACCCCATCTCTACTAAAAATACAAAAATCAGCGGGGCGTGCTGGCGGGCACCTGGTAGTCCCAGCTACTTGGGAAGCTGAGGCAGGAAAATTGCTTAAACCTGCAAGGTGAAGGTTGCAGTGAGCTGAGATCATGCCACTGCACTCCAGCCTGGGTGACAGAGTGAGACTTCATCTCAAAAAAAAGAAATGACACACCACAACCAAGTGGGTTTATCTCAGGTATACAAGCCTGGTCCAACATTTGAAAATCAATTAACATAACCCATCACGTCAACAGGCAAAAAAAAAGAACAATCACATGACCATATATTATATCAAAAGATGCAGAAAAAGCATTTAACAAAATCCAACACTCATAATGAAAACTTGGCAAAGTAGAAATAGAGGAGAACTTTCTCAACTTGATAAAGGACATCTACAAAAAACCTACAGCTAACATCCTACTTAATGGTAAGAAACACAATGGTTTTGCACTAAGATGAGGAAAAAGGCAAGGATGTTACCTCCACTATTCCTTCATATTGGAAGTCCAGACTAATACAAGATAAGAAAGAAAACAAGAAACGGTCATTAGAGTGAATCAGCAACCAACAGAATGGGAAAAAATTTTTGCAATCTACCCATCTGACAAAGGGCTGATATCCAGAATTTACAAAGAACACAAACAGATTTACAAGAAAAAAACAAACAAGCCCATTCAAAAATGGGCAAAGGATATGAACAGACACTTTACAAAAGAAGACATATATGAGGCCAACAAACATATGAAAAAATACTCATCATCACTGGTCATCAGAGAAATGCAAATCAAAACTACATTGAGATACCATCTCACGCCAGTTAGAATGGCGATCATTTAAAAATCTGGAGACAACAGATGCTGGAGAGGATGTGGAGAAATAGGAACACTTTTACACTGCTGGTGGGAGTGTAAATTAGTTCAACCATTGTGGAAGACAGTGTGGCAATTCCTCAAGGACCTAGAAATAGAAATTCCATTTGACCCAGCAATCCCATTACTGGGTATATATCCAAAGGACTATAAATTGTTCTACTATAAGAGCACATGCACAGGAATGTTCATTGCAGCACTGTTTACAATAGCAAAGACCTGGAACCAACCCAAATGCCCATTGATGATAGACTGGACTGGGAAAATGTGGCACATATACACCAT